ACGCACGCACGCACGCACGCACGCACGCACGCACGCACGCACTAAAATTAAAACTTAAGAATATTGAAAGTTGTTAAAAATTGTTACTTTTGACATTGTTTGGAAATGTAAAATATAACACTAATTTACAATTTGAAAATGTAAAATGTATGTACATTTATAGCTATGGAAGAGAGGTACCTCCTGACACAGGCCTGATAAGCTTAATAGGAGGTAACATCCACTGTTAATGTGTAAAGTTAATTGTATTACTGAAATAAACACATCATTTATTTATTTGATGTTTTTGTCTAAAACACAACAAGTTAATAATTGTTTGTTTACCATTTCATTGATTGCATTTAAAGTTACTTACTATCGTTTTCGTTAGCTGTCAAACAACTGGCCTCTTACATTGTGTCACCTTACGATGTATTGCAGGGTGATGTATCGAAAATAACAAAATACCTGTGGCCGTGACTCGGGTATCCTCAGCACGTAGTGCAGGTAATGCCTGTCTTTTGCCTCGCACTCACTGCACAATACCACGTCCACACACTGCACGCAAGTGTAGTGGAACCTGCAACAAGCACATCGGTATCATTTGTAATAAGCCTGGATCATATGCCTGATGCTTGTTATAAGCTTACTCCCCAAAACAAAAATACAGTTTTTAAAAATTATAGGCAATATTGTAATCATAAAACAATTACTTTCATTAATGTGGACATTATTATATGCCAAATACAGTTTTAAAACTTTGAAATCTTCTATATACCAGAACGAAATGAAACCCAGAAATATTCTTATCCTAAAGCGGTGCCAATGAGAAATAAACATAAGACCTTGTCATATAACAACAAAAATGCACCCTGTGTCACCGACTTAGATTTTTTTACCTATAATAAATATAATAAAATAAATTTAGGATACAGGTACGCTGTTTATATGAAGAATTTGTATAATACACTTACCCAATAATTTCTCTTTGACAAAATTTGCAAATACATCCTTCCCTTCCATGTTCTGCACCTGCAAGATAAAATATACAAATACAAAAACAGTTGTACAGTCATGAGTGCCCAGCTCTACCCTTCTGATAGTTCTCATGTTAAAAACCACGAGCACATGAGTAAAGATATACAGAACAATATTCAATAAACAAAACTTTTATCAATTTTATTTTATTTTATTATAAATCTTTGCAAATTACTCTATATTCTTTATATCATTTTTGCTTTTCAATAATTTGTTGTACCTTTCAAAGGAGAATGTTAATAGGTATGCAAAATCGCTTGAAACTTTGTCTCAGTGGAGCTAGGGATGTATATTAGGATTCAATTTTTATAAAGATCGATGTAAAGTGAATATGATCTTTCAATTTGTTTTATCATTTCATTTCAATGCAATTTTTAAGTGAATCAATTCAACATTAAGGCAAATCTCAATATTTAAACAAAAGCCTTATTAATTTGTTATGCTCAGTTAGAAAATAGGTAGTGATAATTGTTTATATCAATGAAACAAGATCTACTTCAGACAAATACCAACAATATTTGTTTAGCTTATATGCAAATACTGAAACATTTATTGATTATAAGCTTTGATTCTTACCTGTATTTTATTTATTTTTTGTCATGTCATGTAGTCGTGATTAGTCATGTGTACCTAATAGTGATTTCACTGATGCCTCCACTGATTAAATCCAGTGTTTGGTCCAATTTCATAAGGATTGATAATGGAGGTAAATGCAAAATAAGCCAGTATGTCGTAAAAACATAAGACAATACCACGAACTTGCTAATCACATGAAGATACACCATTCTTTGATTTCATCAAGTACAGAAACGGAAAGAGAAGGACAATGTTGTGGACATGTTATTTTTGAAAAGTTTAGATGCAAAGGATAGGCATCTGTGAATAATAAAATATATTTACATATTATTATGGCAAGTAAATCATATAATATAAAAAAGGTGTTTTATCTATATATAACAAACACAAATTTTGAAACAATTTTTATGAGATTGATTCAAAAGCACACAATCTGATCTGTGGACTGATTCAGGGCATATGGTCCATTATGATTCAGAAAATCGAAGCAAAACATCATGCATCCTTAAGTAGAGCTTGTATGTATACAAATACACTAGTTTTTGTTTCACTCAAAAAGACCAAGTAGTTATTGGTAGACATTTAAAATTCTCCTAAATATTGAGTAAGGCTAGCATGTGCATGTATACACTGCAATATCATTTTCCAACACACATGTACGTTAATAATTAATAGCATGTTTTTTTATTATTATGTAATAAATCAATTGGAAAAAAAGCAATATAAAAACATACCAACAAGTCTGTTTCCCTTTCCGATTTCAGTCTTTGTGCCGCCTTGGCCTTCTTTACCAGCCCAAACACATTTGCGGCAGTCACTTTGGTTCACCCAAGTTCCATCCAAATAAATTCCTGGGCAAGTGTCTTTACTGTCTTTCAAAGACTTCAGTTTTCTAAGGAAATGCTGCCGTTTGCAAACAATATCTCTCCTTTCCATCAATTTCATACGTCCATCTGACGCCACTGTATATTTGTAGCCCAATTCTATGAGTATTTTGCGCATAGAAGAAACAGAGCACTTAAACCCGTCAATTCTTTCTTTTGCTTTATTCAACACTTTATTTATGGTTGGAAATACTTTATTAACATTAAATGATGATACTATTTGTTTAATGACACTTTTGTGAAAATCGTCTAAGTCAGTTACTGGAGAAGGCTGACAGACGTTTTCTCGTGGAGACACTGGCACACCATTTTTGCACTCTTTTTTAATAGTGTCAACTGTTCTTACACTCACACCACATATTGATGCAGCAAGATCACGAGGGCGTGCGAAAGAAATACTTCTTAATTTTTCAGGATCTTCCTTCATTTCCGTCAAAAAATTTAGCACATTATTGATAACAATACGTGCTTGAGCAGTAATATTAGTCCCGACCGGTGTAATATTATTTTTATAAAAATTATCCATCGTGACAGTCTCAACGTTCAAACGGTAAGTGGTATTAAAATGAAAAAGGTACCTTTTAAACAATAACAGGTAAACTGAACTCTCCTTCTTATTTATTGGCGGTGCCCTTTTACCTAAGATTTCGCCATTATCAACAAAAGAAACTAGTTATTTTGGCCTTTTCCATTCTTTCTGTATAAGAAAAGGCAACCTACATTAACACAGCCAAGTCTTGGTAAATTTTTCTTCTTTTTATTTTTAGATTAATAGGTATACGCCAAGTCTTTAGTCCATTATTTAATTTATAGGCATTTCTTCTTTCAAATGTTATGGCCCCATCGAAGTAATCGATGATTTCGCCAATGTCAAGTAGAGGAACAAATGGAACGATGCCACTATTTGACGTTTGCTATAGGGATGAGATAAAGTCGATAGATTTTTAGTGTATTTGGTTTTTGAAGCAAAAGTTCTCCCAATGGTCGCAAAAAGGTGTTCTACTATATCAATATCATATAGATAAATAAATACATACAATGAACGAGTTGTTACACCAAATATTAATCAATTACCTTTATCGAATGCCGGATTTCCGGTAATGGTTTTACTGCATCGTAGGACAAAACTACTGACCTAGGAAGTCGAAGTTGGATTTTAAAGTAATACTAATAGAGACATGTAAAAAATGCAGTGGATACATGACGCTTTAGCAAAGAATAAAAAAGTAACGAGAATGGTCACTTTCCGCCCCTCACAAGCTTTATAGATATGTATACCGCACCGCGCCTCGCATAATATTGACGGAACAACAACAAGGACGTCAGCGTGTCGTTCGTTAAGCACAAGACGTTACACTGTTTAAATTTATTTATTACGAAAGTGCCTTACTATTATTATGATTGTTGTTGTTGATGAATTTATCTTCATCTAAATAGAATAAAGAGAGGAGTTTCTTTCCTTAAAAAAACTTTTTATTTGATTGTGAAGTTTCGAGACACTCACAGGCACTTGAGAGTGGATAATGGTATGTATAATGATTATTGTGACTTTAATTTCGTAAATGTAAATATATCGAAAATTCGAATGGAATGTTTGACAACCAACAACGTCTTCGCCGCACATCAGTGAATTGCAATCTAATAGATGGTGAATTAAAAAAACAGCAAACCCAAGAAAACATAGTGGTCCTAGTTCGTTGTCAACTTGCACATTAATCGTGAATGTCTTTATGGTTATACCTATATCATTGTTATTGCACTATATAACATACTTGTAACAAGAATCTTGATGATTACTACTTAGTTCGTTACATCAGGAAGTACCATGGCACCCGCGATACAAATTTTCCCTAGTGCGGGGCTAAGAGTGTGTGTGTTGTTGTTGTTTAATTCATTTCAGCATCTCGTAGTGTATTTATCTTAACGATTTGCACAAATTCCTCCACGAGTCCTAGTTTACGAGACTTCTACATACGTCCAGTTTAGCACTTAACGGGCTACGTGTAGGTACGTACCTGAAGCATGAGGCACTTCTTGTGAAGCTTCGGCGGCTCGTGCACGATGTCGAGGCTCCTCGTCTATGTCGCTATCGGTGATGTCTTCATCGCTGTTCAGCTTTGCGTCTTCTGAATAGTAAAAACATAATTAGATTTTTTAAAGAAACCAACGTATCAGGCTCTTTACAGCTTCCATGGTCATAGCTGACTGCCGTAAATATACCCGATTTATATCCGAAAAAATATGTCAGTTCCTGTGTGTAACAATCACGAAAATCTAAGAATTATACAGGGTTATTTGTGAAACACTAACAACCTGGCAGAATTATATTACTAAGATCAGAAACGACAACTTTTGTTCAATGACTTTTTTGGCCGCACAAATATTCCTACCGGCCCAGGAATCGAACCCGGGACCTCTACGTGGCAGACCAGCATAGAAACCGTTCGGCCACAATTATTAATAAATCAGAACATATCTATTGTAATAAGTAGGTATGTATGTATTAAGAAAATATAGTAGATATTATAGATTGCTATATATTTCGCCTTACAATGAAAATCTCGCATACGCATTTTTGTTGAAGAATTATTAATTTTATAGCAATGGCACTTGAACTTCACCTCCTAATGAGCAGTTTCATCAGAAAGATTTATGTAAAACACAAAAACTTGCCTGGTAAAACTTTGGGTTGACTTGAAATGCACTGCCTAGATGTACTGGCTACAACTTTTTTGCTCTTTGTATCTTTTGTGCAGTTCACCTGGAACAAACAAATATAATGGTACACTGTATCGTAAGGGTCATTGAGCTACCGAGAAGTGGACGTGGAAGTGAAGCAACGTGGCATCTAAAAACTACGAAAAAACTTCCAGAGTTATACTGCCCTCGTAACGAAAAAAGGCACAACTATGCGTACTTTATACAGCAGTTGTGCCTTTTACGTTGCGAGGGCAGAAAATATATTTCCGATTAATAGGTCTTCCACATGTTTCAATTTAAAGCTTGCAACTGAAAATAATAACAAGCATTTAATTTATAGTTACTTTGTTTAAGTATTGTATCAAGTCTATCAAAGATTTAATTATAATATTCATAATCATCAACCTCACACGCCTGTCCATAACAGTTGCAGTACCACTCAGAGTTTTAAAACACAAAGATCCGAGGGGCATGACCACTGAACCCGACACCCTACCCTACCCTACGACACTCACCTTTCTTCTGTTTGCGGAAACTAATGAAATTTAAGATTTTTATTAATTAATTATTAAGATTTTTTGAAAAATATAAGAGAAGATGATAAGCTACATAGGGTCGTATTCTAGAACTCTACTCAATGCTCAAGTTAGGATTTGAGTATGGTTTAAAGCACTCGAAATCATACTCAAGTCCCTGCCATTAGGGTCGTATTTCCAGTGCTTGTGTTGCCAGTGCAACCCTGACTTGAGCATTGAATAGAGTTCTAGAATACGATCCATAGAGTCGGATTTAAATCTTAAGTGTCAAGCTTGATGTGCTCTTGACCCTGTACCATTTTCCACTCAACAAATTACTATAACAGTCACATGAAATATTTAAAGTAAATGCCGCAACCCTGAATGGTATGTTCCGAGCGAGTGCATGGCAGCTCGGGTTCGCACCCGCTTCTCTCTCGCCTCGCAAACCCCGCACGATAGCTCTGTCTAGACGTGTCCGTTGGCCAACGTAGGTATTGGTTAGACTGTGGGGTTGAGTATATAACCAGAAATAGAGACAAAATGTAATTTATTTTCATTGAAAACTATTCCGCCAAATGACTATGGTGACAACTGCGGTCCGATTGACCAGCCCGAATTCGAAATATCACATTAGAGTTGGGTAAGCAAATATTATATTATTACTCACTCACTTCCCCTCACGCTCTGCGCCACTAACGGTTGCCAACGATGTGCCGTCGACTCTAAGTCGACTACCAAATCTACTCACTGATGGCGGAGCTGTAAGACACACTTCCCGACGCCGAATGAATGGCGTCTCTCCAGTTCCCAAATCCTACGCGACTGGAGGGATCGGAGTATGTCATGCTCATCCTCTACTAGCTCACCGGGCTAGTGCCGGAGAAAGCAGTGTCCTAGAACAATGTCCAGACATAGCTGCCGACTTAAAGGGCAACTTACGTGCCCGTAGCCCGTAGTCTCCCCGGAACTCCCGATCTCTTGGATCGGTAGATAAGGACAAGGGCAGCCGTTTTTAATTTAATTTTTTTTAATTCGATTTATTATGCATTGAAGTAGAAATAAAAATAACTAAAACGGATTTGAGGTGAGGGATAAGGGAAAAAGTACCATGTTTAGTTAAACAATCGTTTAAGGATCAAACGACATTTAATATGCACAACTAGATACCTAAAACATACAGTTACTTATTTAATTAGTTTAGGCATCGCAACTACACAAATTTTAAGATTTAATTGCATAGCTTTATGAAGATTGCACAATATTTAAGGTTCACTTACTATTTAGCTACCTTTACATAATGTTTAACTTGTATTTTGATTAAGTTATGAAATAAATTTATCTTTCTTTAATATTGCATAAAATCTGATTTGAAAATTAAATTTAAAGAAACTGACACGCTCTCCTAAAAGTTAAAATGAATATTTATGTATGTACATTGTTCCAAATTGTTGTTGATTTTTATATGCGTAGTTGTAGACGTAGCTACAAAACTGTAATTTTTTATTTATTTCACGGTCCCCCGATGCAAATAAAACTCAATCATTTGAACCGTTTTATTTTTACACATTACCTGACTTGTCATGTCTAAAACACGTCTGCCAAAACGTTTTTTGGTCGGAGAATTAAACTTTGTAGGAGTTTCAGGATCGGTAGTTTTTCGTTTAGTTGCCCTAGGTGTAGTTGGTAAAAGTCCATTTTGAGATGATGTTATCGGACTTGCATTTTCCGGAGGGCACTCATAATTTATGTTACTCTGCAGGGGAAAAAAGTCGAGTCTATAAATAACATAAGCTTAATAAAGTTAAATTCGACGGATTACGTATATTACTTACCACTACAGGCATATGAAGTGTAGGCATTGCAGTATCAAATAAGCGGCGACGAGTGTTCTTTATATTAAAACAATCTTCTGTGAAGTGCCGAGAGCAAACGACGCTGTAATTGCTTGGAATCCAGTTTTCCCTTTTCGTGGAAGCAATCCATTTTTTCTTAAGGCCCGGTTCCTTAGGAAATCTTCAAAACCAACACAAAAATACTAAGGTTTTATTGAAACCCACATATTTTAAACAAAACAACTGACAGTACACAATACTAACTGTCCATGGGCTTCCCCAAAACCAGTGAACAGTTTGGACTGGGGGGCTTGGCACAATCAACACACTTGCAAGGTGGATAGACGATTGCTATACGTTAGTTAAGAAGACACCCATGGAAAGAAATGGGGTGGTATTATTCTAGGCCAACACCATACGGCCATAAGATGTTAACTATATAAATGTACTCTCGAGCAAAAATAATTTTCTTCAGCAATAAAAATGAACGATTTTCTACAAATTCTGTCATCTGCAAAATCATATCATCAATTCTACAATCTACTACGTAATAGGTAGTGTATCTTGTACAAAATCTGGCATACTTATAAAATCGATACATTATACTCATGGCTCAATACTACGACGACGTTAGGTGTTGATTTTTTTACTTAACCGATTTTGAAATAAATCAACAGTCATAATTATACTTGCAAATATCGATACATAATTTGACTTTTTCAGTGCAACACTAGTAACGCGTGCGTAATGAATAGAATGAAGTGAAACAATTGACGGGTATCGTCAATTGTTTCACTTCGAACCGACTAGTTTAACTTGAGCTTGGCTATAATGCATGAAAATTAAAAAATTAGATATTTAATATATAATTACCGATGAAATGTGATTCCGTCTGTTTTGTAATTAGATCTTTGGCTGTTTTTCCCACACCACCGAATAGAACAGCCCCCCATTGTTAGAGATTATTACAATAAATACAGAATATTTTTGGAATATACGGAGACGTACACACAGGTCAGTTGTTGGCACTGTACTACTTCAGTGCAAACGAGAATTGATTTATATAAGCCCCATTTGACAGATCAGTTTCTCGGATGGATTATTAGCGATGCGCGATTGCGAATGATTTCGATATTCGACTCGTTAGTAATCATTAATCCTGTCATTCGGCTGACAAACTAGTAATCTACTAATTATCTTCGTATTCAATGATTTCAACGATCATTCATTTTAGTAATGATATAGATTCCCTATAACATTTCTGCCCAGCCCTCTCTGACATATGGTAATTACCGTAAATGTGAGCGGGACAGAGATATTTTGATACGGACGTGGTGAACTGTTTCGAGCAGTTTCGGCATAAAATCATTCAACTCGAGTCGAATGACTGTGCTTGGATTCGACTTAGGCGAATGATTTGCCCATTCGAATGATTAGTATTATACAGTAACATTCAAAGTCATGAATCGCTAGCCCTTATTTTCGCCTCTATTTCTGGTTATGTACTCGACGGACTGTGGCTATAAAATTTTAATAAATGTATAGTCATTTTTATGAAGATGAGATGTGCTATGTAGGTATACATATGAAATCGATACATTATTCTTATGGCTCAATACTTAACTAGGACGACGTTAGATGTAGTTTTTTTTGCTTTACCGATTGTTTAAATAAATCATTATACAGTAATAAATACTTGAAAATATCGATACATAATATGATTTTTTCAATGCAACACTAGTAACGCGTGCTTAATGAATAGAATGAGATGACGTAATGGGAGTTGCGTTAGGTGGAAGCAAGATGCAATGATTTGAAACAATTGATGGGTGTCGTCATAGATAACCTCCTCATAGATGCCGCCTGTTGAAAATTTCTACTGAACCGAGCTCACCAAATTCAGAGGAAGGTAAGAGACGTGGGGAATGCAATAAAGACGTTCTGATTCGCTAGTTCAAGGTCGAACTAGAAATGCACTCAAATTGCACTTACAACTAGTGATGGACAACCTTTCTTTACCAGTCTGCATCCAATAAGTCAATAAAAACGATAATATTTATTGAGTGCCTGATTTTCCCTTCAATATTTGGCGTTTAATAATTTCTTTGCATTTCGCCCTCAATGAATCCAACGTACATAGATTTTCTGCCGTTATAATTTTTTTTCTAATTCTGATAAAAGCGATGCCAATGAAATAATTTTTCTTTTTAATCTTCTATTTGAATCACGTACTTTTCTTAATTTTTTGTTTTTTGTCTTAACTACCTTACTTATTTCTATTATTCTTCGACAAAGTCGTTTTTTAAGCGCAGATTCATATGCGCACGGAGTAGTAGCTAATGTGTATGTGTAGACAATGTTCGTTTTTTTTCGGGCATCTTCACGATGGTTTTATTATGAGAGGTTGACGGAACTTCCATGTCTTGCATAGGACTGTTAATCTGAAAACCACTTAAACATAAGTCCTAATAAATTAATAAAGAAAACTGTTTCGCAAGACATTATTATGAACTTTGAAAAATTTCAAGGTTATTAAACAATACAAATGTATTAAAACTTTGAAAAAAAAAACCCTCAATAGCTATATAATAATAAGCACAAAGTGCCCTTAATTACTAACACTAGTAAAAGAAGTGTCCTTACCAATAATGGTAGAAATAAAGTTGGAACAGCTGTATCAAGTAATCGTCTTCGATTTTTCATATTGTGAAAATTATCTGCTGCGAAATGTCTTGAGCAAATTACACTATTATTTGTGGGCAACCAACTTTAGTCTCGAGAAGTTGCGTCTATCCATTTATTTTTTTGCTCAAGACATTTAGGAAACCTAAAAACAAATTTAAAACTTTAATCACTGTCAAACAAGACTACACAGTTCTTATTGTTTGTTAGAATGTATAATTGAGTAGAATTATATTGAAATTATAATATTACAATGTATATAAATAAATAAAAAATTACAATAATTCTTTATTTCCTCTTTTCGCAAAGTATCGATGGGACGAAATCTTTAATCTTCCCAACCCTAGTGTTACACGTGTTTTCGACAAAAGCTTTAAACCACGTAAGAACAAAATAAAAGAAAGAGACCTGTCATCATCAGTTCAGTTCAGGATCAGTTTCCTTCGTAATTTTTTAGTATTAGCCATTTTAATTAAATTTTTAATCAATGCGATACTTGTAAATAACGTAGCTATTTATAACTTACCGGTGAAATGTGATTCCATCTTTTTGAAAGTTTGAGGTGCTGGATGATTTTCCACACCATTTCACGGCACAGACAGTCATTTTTATAGTTCGTTTAACCAAAACCAGTGTAACAATACAGGAATATCAGGAGATGCGCATGGGTCTGATACTTAGTCGAAACTAAGTGCATACTAAGTGTATTTTTGCAAAATTGTATATATGATCAATCGCACGGATGTGTGGTGCGCGTCAGTTGCCGTGTGTGCGGCATCTATTAGAAGGTTATCTATGGGTGTCGTCAATTGTTTCACTTCAAACCGACTAGTCTAACTTGAGCTATGCTATAATGGACGAAAATTTAAAAATTACATATTTAATTACCGATGAAATGTGATTCCGTTTGTTTTGTAATTAGATGTTTTGCTGTTTTTCCTACACAACCGAATAGAACAGCAAGCCATTGTTAGAGATATTATCTTTATTACAATAAATTCAGTTTTTTTTTGGAATACACCGAGACGTATACACAGGTCAATTGTTGGCGCTGTACTATTTCAGTGCAAACGAGAGTTGATATTTATAAGTGATGTATCACTGACGAGTTACCAGGAATGTATGGCCCTTATTTCGTAGGTGTTCTTAAGCAATTTGTATTGACGCTGGTCGGCACGAACACAAATAATGATGCCAATGGATTAACATTTTCCTCAAAAGTTGGGAAATTGGAATCGTCTGTTGCTTAACTCATCAAATTATTGGAAAAGGGTGAAGAGAGGAGAATAAGACGGACAGGATAGGAGGAGAGCACGAGGAAAACATTTTTAATACAGTTCAGTATATGAGAGTAATTAGAAATACGTAAATAATAAGCAACGTAAAATATGTAAAAACAGAAACTAAAAATCCCGACATTTTTTGTTTTATCGTTATCGCGGCGACGAATAAACGACAAAGATAGCTATGTACGCAAATTCATATCGTTGTCCTTGTTCTTCAAAATGTATAACAATAGTTCCGTCAACAAACAGGCAAAAACTTAGCTTTAGCAACTGAAATAAATATTGCCATGCGGAGGTTTCTCAATCACACATATACTGCCATGCTACGGCTACTGGTTTTCATAAGTTACAATGTTGACAACTTTGATTTGCGAAATTTTTGGCCTAATGTAATTGGTATCACGAATAGTCTTATTTTAAAAGGTTCTAATGACTCTGTAATTGTGCAGCATATATATTTTGTGATAGAATGTTTGAGATGTCTTTATTAATGTATCTTTCTTTTCGATGCCGGACTACAATATTACATATTTTTCTTTGAATGGCTATTTTTTTGCATAAGGATTTAAATTTTCCTGCTTTGCGTTTTAAGACGTACGATCTTTTTGTTAATTACTTCAGAGATAATCCTTTCTAGGCGTGTCGATAATAGAATCTAATCAATTACGAGAATGGAGTATGGATAATATCACGAAGGGTACCTAGAAAAATATAATAAGGTAACTATAATAAACCAGTACTCATAGGTCACAGATTGATCTACTAGTACTCCAGTTATAACATGAGTATGAGTAATATTTTTTCATCGTTCGTGCATCGTTGAAAACTAACCGGTTGTGGCATTTGAAGATCGTGGTGATCTGGTATCTCATCACTAGAAACGTCATCTTCCAAATGAAAAATAGGCAGACCCTAAAATATAGAAACAATCCAAATTAGCTATTTCAAAAAGTAGCTATTTTATGATGAAAATATTTTTTAAACCTTAGTTGGAACAGCGCCTAGACGTAATTTGCACAAGCCTCCTTTAGTAGTATACTTTTCTTTGTTCTTGAAGTGAATGGAACAAATTTTAGAACTTTTACTTGGCTTCCAATACTTGTCATTACGGTTGAGTCTAATTTTTTCAGCCCAACGAGCAGCAATAATTGGATCAGTAGGAAATCTAAAACGAAAATTCCATAAGTAAACATCAAAGAAAATAACTGTTAAAATAGATTAAAAATCTACAAATGAATACCCTTTTAAGAAAATAAAATATTTCAGAATAGAATGTTTTAATCGACTTACGAAAAGAAAGATATAATAAGCTATCAAAGTTGTACTGATGGTCTCACGATCATAATAGAACAAAATCTATACGTGTGAATTTGTTGCAAATATGGGACCAAACGTTCCAATTGAAATAAAGTTGAAAAACTATGGTTCAATAGAGCATAAACGCAGAGCCGTTATAGTATTATAAAATAAATAAGTGTCCAATCACTTACAGGAATTCACAATGATAAACTATCAATGCCATTTATTCAAATAAATATTATTGTTCAAGATGCGTAAATGTGTCGAAATTACAGGCACCATTAAAATGTACGTAATATAATTTTTTTGAAACGGAATAGCAAAATGGGGAGAAAAAAATCAGTTACTTAGCAACATTTTCGAGTCTTGATGCAACGAAATTAATTTTCTGTTTTAATGAATATTTACTTAAATATAAGTTGAAACGCATTACTTACCTGTGGAATGTGATGTTAGTATGTATTTTATGTTTGTCTGTTCTATTTTTACACCCACTTACCGCACATTTCGTCATTTTTAAGTAAAATTCGTGAGCTATTCGCGGTGCAAGTTGACCTTGAGCACTGACTGCCCGCCCGCTTGTGTAGGCCTATTCGGCTTCCTACAATTTGCGTCAATTAGCGTGTGCGGACTAGTTTTCTATATGTTATTATATTATTCTGAGTTTTTAACTATAACCACTATAACCACTAATCCACAACAATTTTCAGGTCTACACACGTCGATTCTTGGATAGGCAGTTGGATCCAACCATAGATTTAGTATATCCATAGATTGGCCCTGACGTATTGGAGACGAGACCAAAACAAAATACATCTGTGTGCGTAAAATGTGCATGTGTGCAAGATAAATAGTGTTGCGCCATCCACGGATTTAACTTTAATATCGATTAACATATTACACCGGCATTTCACTTCGTCGTATTCACCAAAATGTCTTATCGCAAAACGCCGAGACGTTAATTAACTAATTAATTAAAGATTCAATACAAAATTAAGAAAGCTACTATCATCTTCTGGCAGTGCCATAGGATGGTAGGTAAACAATGGGGACTTTCGCCCAAGATAACACTATGGCTCCACAAAACGGTGATAAAACCCATGATCAGTTACGGCGCGATAGTATGGTGGCCACGAACCAAGCTGACGACCGCAACCGACAAGTTGGACAAATTCCAAAGACTAGCCTGCATGGCGACGATTGACTGCATGAGGACAACTTCGACTGCGACCCTCGAAGCGATGCTGGACCTGCGACCCTTCACACGTTACAGCACTAACGTTATCTTGAAGCGATGGAAGTCTTTCTACATTTTTTATCACTTCACTCAATTTTAATACTTTGGCCATAGCCCGTTTTTTGTGCCCTTACCTTTTTCAGGTTTTTTCTTTTCGTATCTAGGCGCCTGTTAAGAAGATCATTAGTTTTCTTTATTTTTTTCTTCCTCGAGGATATATCTTGATCGAGATCGTTTGCTATAGAGCTACTGGGTACTGGCGATATATCTCTGTACACATATGAAGATACCTTGCGTCTTGGCTTCAATGTAACCTACAAACAAATATAACCATTATAATTATTGTATGATATGATGACATAGAAGTGCATCACAGCAGTCAATTTGCAGATAAGTAATAGAACCAAAAAACCGGCCAAGTGCGAGTTGAACTCGCGCGGAGAGGTTTCTGTACAAACTTAAAAAGTTTTGTGGTGGTGCTTTTAGACAGCTAAAAATTTAAATAGTACTTACATGTGAAATGTACAATTCTGCGAGTTTTCCTTTTTAGATGAGTTACATCCGGGCACTAAACACGTTACCATAACTAATAAACGTCCGTTTAACACTATTTCACATTTTAAAACCAATTATTTTTCAAAAATAAACGAAATTTGTTTCGTTGTCAGCTGACCCTAGGTTCATACAGGCTCAGCGTATAATGAAGTGGTCTCGTTTACCCATCTCGCTCTAACATACGTGTATACTAACGCTCTTTCGCGTGCATTGCCAATCATGTGTACCTATATACTAAATCTATGGATCCAAACGTCGCCATCTTTTTGTTTTCTTATAATCCTCTTCTACAAAGTGAACAGAACAAATATAGTACTATGCTTTGTAGTAAGCCATTTTTTCTGCCTGTAGCTTCGGTCCAACGGCTTTTAATATTTGGATCTTTCGGAAATCTACCAATCACAAAATTAAGTTAAATTTATTTACCTATTACAAATAACGTAAACATGGTTTTTCTATTTATATCAAAATGATTTCTAGATAGAGACATACGCACTCATAGCTCGGCACTAGGCAAATCCTGTATCGTGCCATAATCACACACATAGAAAACCAAAAATTACACATTACACCCAAACTCGCAAGAGAAATAAATGTAGACCATAGGTACAAATATTTCTCTCGGTCACAGAGGCAGTTCAATTAACTAGTTGGATTAAATATATAAATCCATAATTTTCTTTACCACATTTAACACGGTATGTGCCATTCCCACAGGCTTATATAGATATATGGCTGTGGCCATTCCACATTCCTATTACGTTACGCATGCATCAGAGTATGTCTAAATTAATTTAGAGAGCATAGCGTAGAGCGCAGAATGCATTTTGTTTAGCACACAATGAAATTTGAAGTTAACTATATTGTGTCTGTAATGATTTTTTAAAATTATTTTGCGTTGTTTTTGTGTTTACATTAATAAAACAATGACTTACTCATGAAAGAAGACGTCTCCTTTTGATCGACTGACACACTGTTATTTTGGCAGTTGCAAACAGCACAACATGGCATTTTTCACGGAATTTGCTTTAACTTAAGGTTCGAGTAGTTCATGAACTAGGAATTGTTAGGAATGAATTACTGACACAGACTGAAGGGAATTAGTTTTTTTTGCACAATATTAACTACCTTTTAGTTGTCCCTACCTACTAACCTGAGAGATAGGGTTTTCCGGAGAGACTACGGACTTGACGGCAAGAGCGGGCGTCTGGACTAAGCCCTCCGTTAGTCATATACCTTCAAAGGCGTCTCGAGTTGCCCTTTAAGGCGGTAGCTATGTCCGGACATTGTCGCAGGACACTGCTACTTGGCATCTCCGGCACTAGCCCGGAGAGCTAGCAGAGGATGAGCTAGACATCATCCGGTCACTCCAGACGCGTAGGAATTTGAAAACTG